GATGAATTTGTGGTTGAGGATTAATACTTTTAAAAGGTAATGTCACATTCAATGATTTTCTGAAGTAGATTGTCGCTTTCGGAACTTTCGAATGGTGAAAAGTGTATGGTAATTTTCTTTGCGCCGAAGTCGTGCAAAGGAATGTCTTTCACCTCACAACGTTTTCTAAAATGGCTTAGAAGTTGCAGCTGAGATCGCCGAAGTGTCTTAAGAAAATACGAAGAAAGCGTGAACTTAAAAATAGACTTAAATACCAGGGTGGTGGAAGGGGCACTATATATATATGGAAGCCGTTCAAAGTACTCGATTGCGAGCGGTCTCTACTCGTCAAAGAGAGGTTTATAGCGGAATACTGGTCAGGGTTTACGGAAATGGGGCCCGTTTCTCGAAGGTCCCGAAAAGTTTTCGCACCCGGAAAGCCAGAGCAAAAGCTCAATACCTTAACCCGAACCTAACCCTAACCGTAACCCTATAGAGCTGTTTTATTTACACATTCTTAGCATGAACAGAGGTTCCCTTCGCACAAGAAGTTTTAGGCGTATATACTTCTCCGTTTTTAGATACAGATAAGCTAAAAATGGCTTTACAGGCCCGAAAAGTTTCCGGGGCTTTCGAGAAACGGGCCCTTGGCCTTTGAATGACAGCGGGGCTGGAGGTGATATTGTTTTGATAAAGACCTCACTGTTTTGTTGTGTAAATCAAGTTGTTCTTATGCTAACTAGTTGGCATTTACATGAGAAAAGGAGAGAGGTCTGCATCAAAGCAAGGTCACCTCCAGCCTTGCTGGCAAGTCATAGACCAGGTGCTAAGCACAACTGTAAAATGGCCTATTGTTCGTCTAACAGATTTTCGCGTGTTTTTTCTGTTTCCTGTTCGTAGATCTTCAAAAGATGCGAGAAGCAGGTGTCATGGCGGAAAGACGGGACGAGTTTGAAGAGAACGAAGATTTCGGTGACGAGGAAGACATCTTGGACCTGCGCATGCCTAAAGACAGTGGAGCAAATCGAGGGACTGGGGCAAAGCAGACTGGGAAGAAGAGAAACCGAGGGAGACGGGGGCGAGACAAGACGCGGTTCAGACAGTCCTGAATTTACAGTTTCATTATTTATTGTTGCTGCTCTGTCTTAAGCGTTAGCAATTTTACTTTAGGTCGACGTGTATTACGTTCTTGTTAAGCCCGAGCCCATTTAAGACAGTTCAAAGAATTTTAAAGATCCGGGAATCGTTCCTGTGGGTCGTGCTATGTTACGAAAATCTTTAATTACATGTTTTGGTTGTTTAGTTCTAAGTTGCTGGAAATTCAACCAAGAATTTGAAATACTCCGGATGGGAAAGCCATGATTGTGCTACTTGCAGACGTGGGATTCGTTTAGCTGTCATTGGACTTGCGTTCCAGGTTTATTTTTTTCCCTCGTAGCATCACCTGTCTCGATTACTTTAAAGGCAAATGTTAATGTTTGGCAATTTGTCATATGATGGTTATCGGCATTTTTTTTAAGTTCGAGTTGGTTACATGGAGACTGTTATAGGAAGTGGTTTCTCCAGTGGACGCAATAGTGTTTGTCTGATTCAAGTTTTGTTGGCGAAGAAAACAAATAAAATTTAAGTTTACTTTCACTTTGCCATGTGCCATTCCTTACTGTGTGCAGTAGAAGCATAAAACTATGGCACCGAAAAATGGAAAAATTTGTCTTTAACTTACTTAATTTTTTTTGGGCATTTTTTTTTTATTAATTTATTTGTTTTGTTTTAGTTTATTTTATTTTATTTTATTTTACCACAACTCTGCGATTTCTTCGTTATATTTGGATATTCCGTACTTTGTGGCAAGCCATGGATGATAGTTTCCGACAGTGAAGGTGAAATACAGAAATTTCTTGTCTTCGTGGAAGGCTGGGGGGAAGCAGAGCTATAAACCTAAGCCACTTGGGCCTAAAAGGCTTCACCTTTCATGTCTCCGTCGTGACTTGTGTTAAGTTTTAAATTCATAGCAAAAAGAGGCACTTCCGCGTTCGATTCTTTAAGCCTAACGGTTTTGAGAACGGACTCGTTGAATATATTTCGCGTGCGACCCACGGGATGAAGAACACGGTTGACACGGTATCGACGGTGACATATCATTTGATAGGCCTGTATATTTTTATCATGCATGGAATCGCCTACATGTGCTACTATGGATGCTTGTCCAGTCTGAGAACAAGCACCCTTGTGGGATGTTTCGAGATATAACATCGGCCGAAATTTTAGGGACTTACTGAAATCTTTGTCACCAGACCGCTCTCGGCTAGCTTCTTCCGCTCGATCCATTGTGGAACCTGTTGCAGTGCGACAACTCCAATCAAGGCCACCCAACAAAATTTTCCACAAATTTAACGTATAAAAAATTGTGGAAGTTAACAAGTTTTCCAACAAATTATCTATGTAATTAAGTTGTACATTTCAAAGGCAACAGATTTGTGTTCGTTTTGAATCATTTGTTGGAAAACTGTTTTTAACCTCCACAGTTTTTTATTCGTTAAATTTGTAGAAAATTTTGTCGGGCGGCCTTCGTTAGAGTAGCCGCACTGTAACATTGCAGCACCAGTATACATTTATTTAGAATCTACCTTATTAGTACTTAATTTCATTCGCGTGTACTATATTTCGGCATTGCGGTGAAGGAATATTTCGGGAAGTTTTAATTCTTTTTCCTTAGAAAAATCCAAGATCAGTGCAAAAACAAGGTGAATAATTTAGACGTCCATTTTGAAATGGGAAAGATTACAGACAATCGCGCATTCCCAAGCTGGGTGGGAGAGTTTCGCGCGCTCCACTTGGTGGGTGTTTGTTTTACTTTCACGTCCGGAGGCAATTGAGGTTGAGTCGAGAAGTCGACTAAGTATTCTGTGCTACGTGAGCATGGCTAATAAACCTAAGATTCTGTGTTAAGAAATTCATTATTGTTTGGCAGCTGAAAGGTCATAAAACAGAATAATGGAAATAAATACAAGCTGTACTGTTGCAGTTGTCTGTATAGTATTTTGTGATTCGCAGAACTGCATAAATTGTCGCTTTTTCATTGCATTGGGGTAAGATGGACGTTACCTTTACCCGTAAGACAAATGAAAGCAGGGGAGTTTCAGTTTTGTTTTTAACTAGTTGGGAACATCTGAACAATCTGCACACATGCAGAATGGACGTGCACATCCATACCTGAATTGGCATAACCTGTTATGTGACTGTTTCATAACATGTAACACATCCCAGTTCCTCCCAACCCCTTCTCTTTTTGTTCTTTTTCCAGCTAATACTGGCTTATAAAACCAAAAAAAAAAGAAACAAAATTGGAAAATGTTAGACCCCAGACCTGCCGGAAAATCAGCACCCCGCGTAAGATTCTCTGTGTACCTTCCATGATGTACTCCTTTCAGCAAAATTTATTAACAATGCCATTGTTCTACAACAACAAGAGACTGCAATCTCAGTCTTAAAATAAAAGAAAAGAGAGAGGTGTGGTAAGATGAGTTTCCATTGTATTATCATTTTGTATGTAAAAGATTGACTATTAAATAAATACAACAATGTTTAATACTGTGCTTTCCAAGGTTTCTCAATGGTAATGTCTTCAGCTGAGGTGACCGAGCTTTCATCTCTTCTGCATAAAGGCATGTTGTGTACGTATAAATTTCTCGAACGATCTTGAGACAACGTGGTACTTTGTACTTGTGTCGCAATTATAATTTAAAAGCACCATTAGGAAATAGCTCGTGATTCTTGAGAATTTTTGTTTCTCCAAATTCCAAGTTTATGAACAAAACTCTCTTTGTCCATTTTCTTTCCTCTTCCACACTTAAGTGAGATCTTGCAACAAATCCTGTAGACTGCATTATCTTTTAATGTGTTTTATTACTGTGTCAGAAAGTCATATTCCCGCACAAGTCGCACTGTGACAGTTAAGAGTCCTTTGGATTTGTCCCACTGGGCCTTGCCATTTTTACTGTCCACTGGATGGGGGAGAAATAATCCAAGTTTGCTGAAATAGCAAGAAGGAGAATTGATCACATACCTGAGACATCTAAAAAATCATCATTGCAAGTACTTTCTGCACCATTTAGGTTGGAATTACTGAAAGGTTGTATTGGGGTGGGGTTGTCAGTTTACAACAAAAGGAGTTTGGGTTTGCAGTGGAAGAGCCTGAGAATCTTGTGAAGTCTCTCTTGATTGAAAATTTACCTAGAAAGCTAGAAATTCTTTCTGGACTCACATTTTTCAACACGCAGCCTCAAGCCTGTGGAGCAGGGTTTGATCAGTCAAAACTAGTTACAATGTTGCTCTATTTTGTACCTATCAATGGGGGGTGAATTTAATGGATTTACAGATGTAAAGCAACTACGCTTTAAGGGGAAAGAGTTGTCATCTAAAGGAATTTCACTTGAGCCTATTTGAAAACCACATGTCATGGTAGAATTTCTTTCAAAAATGAAATCAGTGCATCTAAAGAAGTTTGCCAAAGGAAAAAAATATTATATTTGGCTAAAACAACTAGAAAATTACAGCAAAAAAAAAACATTTCAAGACAATCATTGAACATTATCAATAATAGCTCATACAGCTGTAGCTGCATTAATTGCGATATGCTACATTAACTTACTACTTGGGAGTTCTGCAATCAAGAAAGGTATCGGACACATCTAAATTCACATCAGAGTACTCTGTGTCTGGAAGCTTTATCTTTATCTGAAGATAAGATTTCAAAACATTATTACCGTACATATTGTATAAAATGACAATAAACTACTGCTTGCTGCAAAACAGATAGAGGAAGTAGTCATTTTCTTTGGTTACCGTAATAAAAAATATAGCAATCATTAGCTTGGAAACTGAGTGCTGCTGAAGGTAGTAGAGAGCTTAAAGTAATGACAATGGTCAAGGAGGAAACCTACAAAAATTAATTTATATTAAATGATCTTCAAATTTCAAAGTTATCTACACTCTAGATCTGTTTAGAACACCCATTGGTCTAAAAGCCTAGTCAAACTAAATAAGTAATGCCAGTGATCAATTCCAAAAGGAAATATGAAAAATTGGCTGTTGTGGCTCACATTCCCAATTGAAAATATTTATTCTTCTAATCAATTCCTTTCCCCAAGTGGAGGATTGGGCCTCCATTGATCCCTTTTCTTTGCAACAGACGCAGAGCTGCAGCCCAGGATGTTAAACACATCACATTACGCTCTCTTTCTACAGTTCATATCCATGTTTCTTTCAATCGGCCTTGATTTCTTCTCCCACTTGGTGTCCAAATCAGTGCCACGAGTGGGTTGCGGTTTGTTGCCATTTGCAGAATATGGCCTATTCATCTCCACTGCCATCACCACAAAATATTTATTGATCACATTATTGATTTGTTAATCAAACTTTCAATAAAACTATTTTCACCCTTACCACCAAATCCTCACAGCTAGAAGAAGATGGATTTCTGCCTCTCATTTGCAGATACATGTCTTCTGAGGTTACAGCTTGTTTGAACACCAGTTCATACCTGGATTATGTATTAAGATTGAAATGAGAAACATCAACAAAATACTGGCTTGTGACCAGAATAAATTTCATATTTTTGTGAAAATAAAATGTGTTGTTTCAGAAAATATCCACACCCCTTCCCCAGAGGGTTATTTGGGGTTTTGAGCCCCCCTTCTCCATCCCTCTGGAAATTCCAGCTTTGGTTCATACTTTCCTTTAAAATTTTTGGCATTTGAGCCAGAAAAAAATAAGGGTGTCAAAATTCACAATATTCCTCTGTACGTCACGTAACTGTTCACGAACAATTTCAAATGACAAAGCTAACCTGTGAAGTTACCCATGTCATCTTACATCAAAGGTAAAATTTTATTCCCCTGGTAATTTGTAGATGAATAAATTTCAGACCTTTTTCAAAAAGAACATAGAAGCATTGGTGAACTGACCTTAGGATTACATCTGATGTTGGCAGTGGCGCATCTAGGGGACAGGCCCAGCCCCCAGCCCCCAGCCCCGCCCCCCTTATTTTGGGTATAAGAAGAAGAAATGACAGAAGGAAGAAAAGCCGGCAGGGCAAGTAAAACAAAACCGGGCCCCCCTCTTAGCTCAAGGTCCGACTTCATACGTTGACAAACTGACACACTGGCAAAAGGACCGGTCACCATTAACCTATAGTCAAATTTGTGAGCTTACTTACTCTGGTGCAGGTCTTGGATCATGCTCATCCTCTCCATGCCCTCCCTCAGGAATGTCCTCTTCATTCCAGATATCACTGTTTTTAACTTGCTGGGAATTTGCAGGACCACCTAAGTTACCAAGTAATTTGAGTAAGCAGAGAAAAACAATTTATCACACAAACACCAACAATAATTCTTGCCTGAAGCTACAACTTACCAGTCAGGACAGGTCTTTTCATGCAAAGGGGCATACTCTTTGCAGTAAGACCTCACCCTCACTCCTGTCCCCCACGCCTTTAATGGGTGAAACCCATCCCTAACAATCTCATTGTTTCTCTTCAACAAAAGGGGGTTTTTTTACCCCCTTTGTACAAACCTCCCAAATACAGTGACATTGTACAATGTCAGAATTATTATTATCTTCAAAGGGCCAAGTGCACAACACAATCCAATATGACCTTGTCCATACACCAAGTTTCATGCTTGGGGATTTTGAATGTTACCTAAGTTGTTGTTGACTTAGCCTTGTTAGGTTAACTGCTTCCATTAGTTTTACGTTGAGGGCACATTAATTATAAAAATGCACGCAAAAACAATAGGTGCTACAGGTTCATTGTATTGTCATTCAATGCGAAGCTAATAAAGGCGCGTTCCTTTGGGGTGATCTGGATCAGGATCAGTGATCCAAGATCACTCAAATTACGGTGCATCATAGCAGCCAAATCCATGATCAGAGTTTATTCATCAGTTCCTTTGATGCACCATGATCTGAGTGATCTTGGATCACTGATCCTGATCCAGATCCCCCCAAAGGAACGCACCCTAAGTTACCGGGCTTTGTAATAACTATTTAGTCTAAGATGAGGTTTATTTCTACTCTTATAAGCTTAGTTATAATCTACCAACCAACCCATTCGACCAAAATCCATCGCTCTCAAGGTAAGCTTGCAGATCACTCGCAGAGTCCGACTCAGGGTTTCGAGCTCTCAGGTGATTATTCAACTGAGGCTTTTATGGCAGGTAAACGTCGATAATGAATAAAGAAATTATTATCTAACTTAAGACTTACTGGGTCTTTCTGTTTTCCTCGGCGGACCGATGTTACCAGGATTCGCAGCAGAGGATTTCTTCGCCGAGTAATTTTCGTCCTGTGCAATACCAACAATAACTAACTAAGCCTTTAACACTTTTCTTGGCTCATTTAATTTAGACAGTAATATTTGTTTCTTACATCAGAGCTCGAGTCGTCGTCTCCTGGAGGTTTTAAAAGTTCTGATAGAGCTTCTATCCCGCTTGGGTTGAACGCCATCTTGTTTACCTTGGTAACCGTGCCCTACTATCCCCTCCCGTCCTAGGTCAGATTTTCTCTCTGACCTCCCTAGATCGACTGAAAGTGTTCCTAAAGAAGACTAAGTTCAACCAGCAATTAAAAATCCTGGTTTTAATTACTGGTTAAAGTTTTTTAGAAAACATTAGAATCGATGACGCATATGAGTTATTCGCAAGGCGGGATTAGAACAACTTGTGGATGAACTTAAAAAGTTTTTTTTTGGATTGTTTATGGTCACTCTCGCAGTCACGCTCGCACGCTCAGTTGTTTTGCGTTCGCTCGTAGTCTACAAGAAAGAAAAAAAGCACAGAGGCCAATACGACCTAGTCAGCTTGACCAAGCAAGCTTTGTCAATAAAATATTTATTGAATGGTAAAAAGAACGCCTTATTTTTATGGGAAAGACGTAAGACAGCGGGAAATTAAAGAATAAAAAAGCAGAAACCGACACAACGTTGGATGGTTTTTTTTGAAGGTATACTGTATTTCGGCTGGCCAAACCAGCCTTCTTCAGGTACAATGAGAATTTTACATTTGGACGTGTTTTTAGGTAGCATATTTTCGTAATAGCGGAAATATGTAAAACTAAGTGACAGTGTAAATTAAAGATAATCATATGGTTGCGTTCGCAGAACGCAGTCCTAATCCAGACTTGAGTCGAGTTTCATGGGACGGTGGACCTTCGTC